TTCTCAATTCGAATTTTTGTTACGCGGACTAAGGCACAAGAATTGCCGAGCTCCGAAGGGAACTCCTGTTCACATGAGAATGTACTAGTTAAATTTATTCGATTGTACTGATCAAGCGTATACGCATGGCTGTTGGTATTTAAGTTGAATGGTAAAGTTCGCATCACCAACTACAGTGATGCCGGAATTACTTACAACTGGGTTTTTTTCAATAGCGTATTGTTATTTTTTGTATCCATTGTTCAAAGAAATAGTTCTACCAGACTTAAAATTTTAAATTCATAGCACGGGTGGCGGTTCTTCCAAGTGCCCATAGATTTTAAGTTTAAACGTATTCTGCTTAAGGAAAGACTAATCTAACATATTGTGTTCGTGGATTTCAAGATTTCAAACTGGTTTTCAGAAACTCGCGCTTAAAGTCAGTTTCAAAGTTTTATACAAGAAATGCCCGTTCGTTTACCACTTTTCAAGTGCAGAGGGATTAGTTCTTCTAATCCGTAAAACGTTTATCTTTTGTGCTTTATAAATCGTATGAACATCGTTCACGTTCAGTAGTTCCGTTTGTCATTTTTTTCAAAGTTGCGCGAATGAAGCCTTGTCCACGCGCAATCCGGGACATTTTTGAAACCACACAAAACGAGTTAACCGCTCTAGGGAGCGGTTTCAAAACAATGAGGTTTCCGGTGTCAGGATTCATTGAGTTTTCTCAACATAAGGCTCTTTCTTTTCTTATTCGGCCATGAATAACTAATAATAATGTCCACTCATTCTGCGCGGTGTGCGCTTTGAAGTATCATTTAGCGTTTTGAGTTCTTCACTGAATTGTATTTAAACTTGGCCTTGGGTACAGCCACCAGAACTCGATGACCAGGAAACTAGTGCCGACGTTGTTTCCATAAGGGGAGGAATAAGTCAGACAAGCTGGGCGGGGAGGGGGACTCGAAAATTTGTCTCCATCTGCCATTAGTCGGCATTAGATCATGTCTACGTTTCAAAGTCTTAAGTGAAAACCATTGGACACGACAATTTTACCATAGTTGCCGCTCATTGCCCTTTTCGCGAAGTAATCCAAAAGCAAATTGAATTACCAAAAGTTAAGAACCTCAATTGCGTCATTGATTAGAATTATGTAAGACCCTGAAATCTTTTTAAAGGCTCAAATTGTCTTAGAATTTGGTTATGGAATTGTAATAAATACTGCATGAAAGACGGTCAAATTTCGCCAGGCGATTAACAGTCATTAAATAGAAATAAACTTGTAAAGCTAAAGGGCAATCAAGTGAGAATGTTAAAAAATAATAAACGTGTTAACGTTCAGTGTGGCGGCAGACAAAACTGAAAAGAAATGATATAATAAATCATAAACAAGAAACCTAGCTAGACTAAAGGATGGGGAACTCACGTATCTTAATGACTTACATCCCATACAAAGCTGAACACCTTCATTTAGTTCAATAAAATAGTACAACATGAGCTAACATGCCTACCGCTAACAATACATCGTTTCGGAGGTGGTTCCCTTAGCCTTCGTCTTCGACGTTTTCTTACAATAAAACTACTCGCTTCGTCGCCGCTTAATGTCAGCATCATCAACAGAAAAAACATTTTGGCAAGTCCAAGCTCCATTGTTTTCATGCATGGCGGGTGAAGCGGACAAGTCGAGTGGGTCTTGAGAATAGGAAAATGTCAGCTCACCATCTCCATTTAATAGTTTGCTACACAGGAGCTTTGCGTGACGACACTAAAAACGGCTGTGTAGCAAACTACATCTCCTTCGACGTCTGCTGGCTGAACCGTGGACGCGAAGCAAAATTAACCCGATCGACAATAGAAGACATTTTAGGCATGTCTTGCGTTTTGTGGTACCGCCCACTTGCCATGAGTTAGACCCTGTTTACATGGAGTGGGGGACCCTGGTTTAGTGGGGTAGGTTTCTTTTGTTTTGTGTCCCCCAGAGCGTGAAAACAAAAGAAACCAACCCCACTAGACCGGGGTCCCCCACTCCATGTAAACAGGGTCTTATTGGGCAGAACGTGCGAGTGAAAGAATATTTAATGTTTGACACAAAGTCAATAAATCAATAAAACTGTAAAAAGAGGCAGTTAGACTGTTAACACAAAGTTTTCTTTTCAAAGTTTGTACATGTGTAACTTAGACTGCTGGCATGCCGCCTTTTCTCTTGAAATCAGTCTAGTTCTTATCTCAGCCGGCGCGATTGCAAACCACGACGTTACGTTACAAGGGATTGGGACGACACGAGAAAAGACTTTCTTCTCGGGTCTAGCTTACGCCCTCGTCTATCGCGGCTCGCATGCTTTGGTTTCGCGTGCAGTAATCATATAGTTTTGCAAAAAAAAAAAATAAGACACTGCTCACAGTCTACGTGTATCTGGTACAGTCCAACCCTTCGTTGATGCATAACTAATTGCCAAGATAGTCAGAAATTGACATCTAGATATTCCAATACGATGGCTTTACCTTCAGAAATGGTAGGGCTTCAAAATTACGTGAGTGGGGTTAGCTTTCTATGAGTCTTATTATTAAAGCGTGCTTGAAAATCAAATTTTTTTCGATCGCACAAAGAGAATTGTATAAAGGACTAATCCTTTCAAATGTGTACAGCTATTTCGAGAAAGGTCGTCGGAAAAAGTGCACGCGACAATCCCGAATAGTATTGTGGGTGGTTTTTAGTTCACTGTTCTTCAAAGAAATTTGAAAGAATGGCAAGATGGGCCATGGATATATGTCTGCAGGTGCTGAAGTAAGTTCGACAGCTGCAGTGTGAGGAACAGTATATTGATCATATCGCATATTGCCTTTCGGGATTGTCGCGTGCACATTTTTCCGACAACCTTGCTCGAAATACCGTAAAATTCCGCAACAGAACGTGACATAGAGGTCAATCTCGTGGAAGAAAAATCTTCAGGTTTTTACTCACGGCTGCTTTGCTGGGGACCAATGAAATGAAAAGTGGGGAAATTAGTACAAGGTACCCGGCCGGAAATTCATCGAATTCGTGAGCATCTAATGCAATGGCTGATTATTTTTTAAAATATGTTAACGGATTTACCAAGTAAATCGATAGTAAATGAGGATTTTGAGCCAAAAGTTCTTTAACTGTTTTGAAAGATTAGTTTATATACAGATACTTATAAATTACAGCGGGATCATTTTGGCATATCATTCTTTCGAGTCGATTATGGTAAATCCTTAAAACATCATTTGCATTATCAGAAAACAGCCCTAGATTTTGCGACTGTAGTAAAGGATTTATTTTATGAAGGCTTTATGATAGTCTAACAATGGTCGTAATAGCCATATTAGAAGCCGTGAACGCACCGTTTTTGGAAAACTATTCCAAAACCGCTGGTATAATCAGTTCCTCGAGAGATAATCTTGCGATAACAGAAGGATTAAATCTGATAACTTCCGTACGCAAAAAGAATTTGTCTACTCGCATATCGTACAATTCAATCAACAAGTGACGATAAACCAACTGTCCTTCTCTGGCCGGACTCCACGTGGGGTTTTCTTGTCTTTTACAAATTATGCGTTTATATACATAATACAGATGAGAAGAGTACAAAAAAAAACGTTTTTAGAGAAGCAACAAGTGAAAAAGAAAGAAACCATAGCAAAAAGTCTACTATCATGCCCTCCTTTATATCTCTACTGATATATCTCCTCTAGAAAAAGATTCTTCAGTGATCACAAAACTTGAACGTCAAGTGCCACGTTTTCAGTAGTAGTATAGTAGAGACTGAAAAGAAAAATTAAAATACCGCTATCTGGGGTGTGTTCTAAAAGCACTTCAGTGTCTATTGGACGTCAGACCACTAGTTAAAAGAAAAGTTTTCCGGATGAGATCTTCTATTTCTGTCCCGTCCATGTCTTTAAAATTTGGAAGTCCACAGACAACGTGTGTCCAAACCTTAATAACTCAACATTTTCTATACCATCCATGATTTAATTTAACTCAGAAGTTACATATATATAAAGCTATAGTTAACGCGAACTTGAAATATCGACTCGTAGTTCGTACAAGTACAGTGTGTGGGAGAGAACAGGTGTCGGAACTTTCAAGGTTTATTTACAGCAAAGGTCATCGAAAGTCACGTGAAACTACACGTGAATTCTGACGCTCAGAAGGTGAAGTATATATTGGCCTGGTTTAAACCTTGAAGAAAATACTCAATACTTTATTGTTTTGCGGTTTCTTTCTCTCTCGCTTTACTTTTATCTTGTTTCTATTTTACTTGTTGTTACTCTGATTCAGTGTTTTGATACTGAAATCTTCATGTTGACTATAAAGTCAAGAAAGTTTCTAAAGTTTCAGCTAATACGAAGGTGTCAAGATGAGATTAACTGGTTGGAGTATAACACTGATAGAAGCGTTTGTTTTTCTGTATCGCGCGTTACGAGAATTTTGAACTTAATCAAAAAGCAAGCATTTTGGTCAGCTATGTTATAAAAGAATTTGTTCATGCTTTTAGCTGTGCGTACATGGAGTTATTGATGCACTTGGGAAGTTTGAAGAGCATTCAAGAAGCTAGAGTTGCACTCGGCTATCGCCTCGTGCAACTCTTACGCATCTTTCGTACTCTCCAAACTTCCCGCGTGCATCCATAACTCGATATACGCACGAGTCGTTTGTACTGACTCCAGAAGTGTATTGGACAAAGAAAACTGTAGCACACTTCGAAATTTTACGCTTCACGTAGAGGAAGCAAAAATTTGCCGCCACTTGAAAATCCGTGAAGGTGGCGAACTGGTTACTGATCACGTATAGACTCAGACTCACCATGAAGTGGTAGCAACACAGTTTTCATGCTATAACTGAAAAAATAAGCCAAGAGTTTCAGAAGCAAACGCAGTGCGATTAAATTCAACTGGTTTGTTGTTGTTGTTGTTGTTGTTGTTGTTGTTGTTGTTGTTCACCCAATAATCCAAACTAAAAAACGTGCAGTGAAACTTTTCTATGAAACTCTCAGGACACATATTCAGTCCTTGTCGCATTCATTACTCATCTTTGAGGGGGTCGCGGAGATTGTGGTAAGCGACGTTATTTTCTCAAAACAAAAATGCTCACTTCGTGGTTGAGAAATATCACCATGAACAGCAGAAGCAATATACCAAATGTGACGCCCAATGCGTGTTCCTAGCGGGAAGACTATATGAAGAAGAGTGAACATTTTGAAGCGAATGCCAGCGACTGTAAAAAGAATTCTCTGTCAATTACTCAGTTATAAACGTCGTGATTGATGAAGTAGAGATCAGGAGAATCGGCTCCTGGTAGAGATGAATTAAAGAAAATCCAAGATTTTCTCTTTAAAAAAATGTTGAAAGATACCATGTAATTGATAGAAGTGGTCAAGAGTACTTTTTAAGACCATTTTTTAGTGACTAATATATTCGGCTCAACTCAATCATGCGCGGCCAGTTGCGACAAGGCTTGGATGATTAAGCAGGCATAGAGAAACGTGCAGGCTAGCAAATCCGTCCTTTAACAATGAAAAAGTTCGTACTTTTTCGCAGACTTTAAACCGTTAAGAGATGGTTTTTCAGACGATTGTCATGAAATATCAGAACCTAAAATGTACGGCGATATCTACGATAAATAATATATTAAACACACTTCCGTTTCTACTTAACACAGTTGGTTAACACGCAACAAACTAAGCGCCATACTTTAAAAAACGCATAAAACAAACTCAAGTCGTCAGATGAGGTTTTTGTTACCACCTTACATAAATAACGGACTTATAAATATGTCATATGTAGCGATACTGTTACCCCGTCATTTTCTCAGAACCACTTCACGTGCCTTGACTTAACGTCATCTTTTGCTTCACTTGATGTAAACAACTATGAGCCTGCAGTAGTTCGAGGAGGTCTAGTCTCTTCAGTAAGCCTTCTATAGTTTCGGTAAGGTCTCCTAGCCACTTTTCCTTTTCTATTTACCTTCCATTTTTTATATTTTTACTATTGTGTGGCAAATAAATGAAGGGAAAAAAAAGATAGGAAAAAAACGCAAATGAGGGATGCAATTTTCCAAATAGTACGTTATACTGAATTCAGTAAAGTTACGAAGTTCAATGACAGGTAATTTTTCAGCTCAAACCTACGATATTTTCCGCTTCAGTTAGTCTTGAAGCAACTGCCGATGAGACGTGCCCTTACGTGCATCTTTAATTTATCGGAATTTTTTCCGTTATTTGTTTGATCTTTCGTTGCCTCAGTTTTTGGCACTTCGCCGTTGTAGTTGGAGTTTCAGCGAAATGTCCCTTCTATTCCTTTTTCGTATCAGGTTGCTACTGTAACTTAAAACTGGGCATTATGTATTAAGCCTAAAGCGTAGAAACAATTCGAGGAGACATCATCTCTCTGCTCGGCTGAACTCAGCGGTCGACGACCACTGCACGCGCCGGCTCGATCCTTCGCCAAAGCTCAAATTTTATGCCAGGGGAAAGGGGAGATAAAATCTCGGACAAGTTTGACGAGAAACTTAATAAAGCCACTACGGAGACCCTAAGGTTGCTCGCTGCGCACTGCCGTTATATTCCGGCAAAAACTGACGTTCAGTACATTATGCAGAATTCGGATTTAAAATACCCAGTGAACCAAGGTCAAGGGACGGTGCAGTCAAGAAACAGTAATCCTAACCCGGGGATATCAGCCTCGAATTGAAAAGACTGTCTGGTGACAGCTTAGACGGTCTAATTTGTCATGGCTTTTGCTCTTCGTCATTCTTTTTCTCTTTTAATGCATGTTTCACTGTCGAGCTAGATAAATTTATATTCCGATTTGCAGTCAGCGTATCTATAAATATATGATAAACAACGTATAAATAAATTTCAACTTGAACTTTAGACCAAATATGCTCGTTACTCTCTGCATCGTTATTCTCATGCAAACTGTTTTACTCATTCATTTTTTCTCCATCTTTTCTTAAATATATGTATTAATATAACGGTTGTGTTCTAATTTCTTAATTCGCTCTCAGTTTGTCAGAATTTTTGCTCCGTTTCTTTGAGGGACATGGACCTTTCTTCACTATTAGCACTTGTCTTTGCAGTTACTTAGTATATAGCCGTTTCTAAAGCCCCTACAACTAAGAAAAAGTTATTTCTTACCGCTAACAGTGCAATGTCGAGGCGATGGTCTTAGTCTATGAAGCCGATGTCGTCTTGGTATAAAAGCCCTAACTCCAAGCTGACCAAAGATCACCATCAGCAGAAATAATATATTTAGCCTCTGAGGCGTCATTCCGAGGCTTGCTAGGATAGAAGTTGCCGAAAGAGTGAAGATTCAACGACCAGCGATTGTCATCTAGCTGATATACAGGACAGAGACGAAAGGAGATGAAGAGGCGAAAACTTATTTCCACCCTTCGCAATCATGATGATAAATGGCTTATATATTCAACTGTTTATTAGTCGTCCGAAGCCATTTTTGCGCGACTGAACTAGTTCATAACTCACATGGATACATCAGTCATGCATGGGTGAGAGAGCGTTCAGTGACTTTCAGAAGCGTGGGTTTTCAGCCGCTCTGCTAACGTCATAGAAGATATTTCTTGAGTTCTTGTAGCAGTTGGTTTGTCTGCCTACAGCCGATATATCCATACATGGTTGCTCACATTTTTGCAGAACGTAATTAAATTATTAGTTTGTAAAAATCTTCAACGAAAAAGGATGTACGTTTTGCCAATTTAGTGTCGTTTCCTTACTAAGGAGTCTAAGCTGGGCCCTTAACATATTCCTGGCTTAATCAATCAATCATGCAATCAACCAATCTTTATTCTCCTAAGATAAAAAGACATATCTTAAGTTGCATCAGCAGTTGGGAATCTAAAAATACATTAGACATACCGTATACAAATAATAGAAAAATTAAAGATTATATCTAAAAATAATCCTATTTACAAAAACATTCTTAAATCTATCGGTCTTGTTTCTGAGTAGATACTTTGTTTCTTTCTTCTTCGAAATAATGTTACCAAGCGGGCAATCGAGATCCACCAAGAGCCATAATGGATCCACTGAACGTACCTTGAAAAGCTTCTTATCTGCCTTTTCTAAAAGTTCTCGAACGTCCATTCTCTTAGATGTGTATTTCCTTTTAAAGCATCTATCCAACAAGGTTTTGTATGACCGTGAGATCTGAGTCTACAGCGCCATACACAGGCAGACCATGAGTGAAACTCGGTAAAACTAAAGCGCTAAATAGGTGGTCCACTTCACCTTGATTGAAACCTTCCTTCCGTAAAGATCTTAATACAAACAGACACTTATTTGCCTTAATCAAATAAGCACGTACGTGTTCGCTATATTTACAATTATTTGCCATAGTACTTAGCACTTATTGAATGAAGGAATCTAATGACGTCCACTTATAGCTTCCCCTTCCAGTTTTTCCACTGTCGGACTTCGCCCCTCGTTTTCCGCTCAGTGGTGCAAGAGACCGCTGTTTAAACTGAGCTGTAGGAACCATTCTCTCGTTCTACCAAGAATCAATTGTTCAGTGTTTAAATCAGCAATTACCTACTGTAGTTATTGCTCCGTTAAAAGTGAAGGTGTTTTCAAAGTTCATGAGGCTGTTACAAGTATTCAAACTGGTTCGTCAGACCATTGACTCTGCCGCAAACTTCCTAATACAAAGTACATCTGATAATAATCTAGAACAAGAGAGAATGATCTAGCTCATTCTCTCTTGTCTCGAAGCATTGTGTCAGTTCTCACCGTGCAACCCAGCCTTAGACCGCAATATGCATGGTTAGAAATCTGAATCAAAATAATTCTAAAAAGCTTACTCCTGTTCCCATTCCTTTATGAACTGTAGATTTATAAACTGAGGTAAGATCCATTTGCGCTTCCCGAATTTCAACCTCAGTATCAGTAATTATAATTGACTTCCACCCACATCAAAAAGCTCTTAGCCACTCGACTGCGAAAAAGAAACAGCAGGAATCAACAATTTTTGAACAGGCGTAAACAGTTCAAAAACAAAGAGTTTTGACTCACGGTCATGATCCTGGTGAAAAACGGCTTTTCAGCTAGAGACATTTAGAATTTTGAATTCCTGCAGCGGGACTCGAATTTTTTTTTTAAACTTTTTTATTCAAGTTTTTCTTAGTTTATTGCAAAATAACTGATCACAGCCATTACCAGCCAAAACACTGTTATTGGATTCGTTCTAGGCCCGACGATGTGGCGATCGACAGAAATTACAAGTCAGCACATGCAATATATTGTCAGTGAAGTGAACTCGTTACTTTATCATATCGCTGGGATTTCACTACCCTAGCGAATGGCATATAGTACCGTCAGTTTCACTCTTCCCATTCCCATAACGCTTGGCCCGGTGGTATATGATATGGGCATTCTCTATTAACTATTATCGAAACCCCCAACACGCTGTTTGCTCCCCCTAGCCTCCCCCAAAATTTTGCATTAACCTTCCTAGGGTGACTGCATATTCCAAAGATGTATCTGGAAACATGAACTTATTCGGAATTTGAGGAGCAGACAGAGTAACTATGGGCAAGAGACATTCGGGGGACAACTTTATGATGGATTCGAAACCGTGAGGAGCGTCAGGAAATTTATGGCAGTTACTGATGCCTGGCACTTTTTCCAATTATATTAGTAAAATTCTTGTCATCAGAGTTCTTTTCTATTGCGCCGTTTAGTAGGGTTTCTTTCGCGGATTAGCTTAGAAGCTTATGCAGACGCGGATCGGATGTTTGTTTCCCGCCAAAAATTAGCCTTTACGTTCACCGACGATACGACGAGTACATGAAGCTTGAAAAAAACAAAGGTGCTTATTATCTCCAATAAATAAAGCTATTTCTATCCTGACCAAAGTTTTTTTTTTTTTAACATTTTAACAACCTACTATAAAAATAAAACATGTAGCAGTCATTTGCAAAATTATAGGCGGGTCCAATTGCCTAACTGACCGTGTTATACAAGCATGAGTAGTTAGAGACAAAGTGGAAAACAAAGAGAAACAGCAGGATGGCTGCTAGCTGGGCTCCATATGAAGGTATCTCCAAAGGTAGAGTGACTTTTATTATCAATATATTAGGTGCCCTATGCTGCATATGCCACAGTAAAACCTATATAAATCGAGTAAAGCCTCACTGGCCGGGAGAACTTTTTGCGCACCTTTTCATTCCAACACTGATTCTATCACTGATCTGGCTTCGAACTTGTGTGACAAACCCATATAGTGTCGAGTATACATATTTTAAAAAAAGCATTTATTTGGGGTCACAAAATGCTTGTGATCCATATCTTTTCAAAATGACAAGTGCGTTTTTTGTCTTCGACGATCTTATCAAAGAGTCAACAAAGTGCTGTTTTATCTGGTTAAATCGTCTCTATTGTCTTTTGGCTCGTGTTTGTCGCTCGTACTTACTTGTTAATAGTTCCATAGGCATGCGAATTAAACCAATACACTAGAAACTAATGTAAACATAGGTAATTACCAGCTCTAATGAAGTCACAACCGATGCAACAACAAGGTCTATTGCATTCGACTTGTCTTGATTAACCACAGCAGATGGCACAAGTAATACATAAGAATTTAGCCACAAGCGATAAGCAACTTTGGTAAACGCAAATTGTTCTCACAGCGCGTAAGAGGAAGGCCCACAAAAACTCCTATAAAGTACTATATATATATATTCCTACCCCTGACAATGCATCGTTCTGGAGATGGTCGAGCGGGCCTTTGAGGACGTCTTCTTCGCGCTAGAAAATTGCTCACTTCGTCCACGCCAAATATCACCATCAACATCAGAATTGCCACTGTGACTTTTATTCGACAGTGATGCAACATGTCCGCGCAAAGATGAGTCCAGCTTTCAGTTGAATATTTCTCTTCTTGTCTTCTCGATGAAGCAAAAGAGAACTGACGATCAAAGGTTTGGTCCTGTTATATTAAATAATACACCATTGCTTTTGCTGAGTCTTTTTCTGCAACTTAAAATCCACAAGAACTCACTCTTTACTTACCGACCTGACTTAACCTATTTCAAAACTTTTAACCTATTTCAAAACTTTTATTGTTCTGTAAAAGGGATTCAGTCGAGCACGATAAACTGATATAACAAAAGTCAATTAATATAATCAAAATAATATTCAAAACAACTACAAAACCACGAGATAAAAGAAAACATAAATGTCCTAGTCATGCTCGGCTAATAGAGTGTTGATACCGTGGGAAAGCTTTGCAGGTCAATACAATCGACTCAGTCCGAAAATAGCTTTGCGAGCCCAGGGTGGCTTCCTTTATTTGGTGGTTGGTCAGTTTACCACAGTATGGATGATAATTCTTTAAAATTTGCCCGTCATCGTTTATTCATCATTTAGCCAAGGGTCCCCAATGAATAATCCTTGGTGAAGATTAATTCAAGATCGAGAACCGTTGAAAATTTTAAGAAGCTAAAGTGGCTACTGCCGTTTTTTGATGACGGTAGCTAGAGATAAATAAGTGTGTTTTACTTTATAAGGTATTGCAAGGTGAATCGCCCTTATACATTGCTGATGTCTTAACTACGAACAAAACTGTGGACGGTAGAGAGACGAGACATGACCAATATAACTTTGTGTGCACATCACCGAGGCGGGGGGGGGGAGATCTTTTAACGTCAGTAGTGTAAAGTTGCGGAACGGTCTGCCAGATGAAATTAAAAGGAAAAACATTCTTTTATCCTCTAAGAATGCACTGAAAACTTATTTTATTAATTTTTAAACTGATATTGATTATTTTGAAATCTTATTGTAAAGATCAGTTTTATCTTATTGTAGATAATTATTTTAATTTTTAAGCCTGGGTATCTTATTGTAAATAACTATTTTAATTTTTCGCTTACGTAGTTTGGTAGAGGGCCACTGGTTTCTCAGCTTTTGCTGTCATGTGTTTACCCTCTTTATTTTAATAAAGTTGATTGATTGGTTGAAGGTATTTTTCCGATGCTCACTGATCACAGAAACTATTTTTACTCAACTGATTTCTGGTACCTTTCGTAATAGGGGTGAAGTGATTGTGAGTCCGGCACCAGCGAAAAAATAGGAGCTTCCTTTAAAAATTTCAAAGAAGATCGGACACTTTGCCCCCCTCTATTTTGGGGGGCCCCGGGGTTACTCCCTATAATGGCCTATATGGGGAGGCTCCGCCCGAAAGCGATATCTTTTTCAGGCTTCAGGTGTATGAAAGGCTAAGGAGTTTACTCATGGAAGTATATGAAAGGGTAGTGAAATCTCTCATTTGGGGCTGTGAAAGGGCCCAAAGGGCCGAAGAGATGAATTTTATGGCTTTATAAAGTCGAGAAAACGCTATATTTTTGTGATTGATTCCTATTTAAATGACAGTGCATTTACAGTAGCCTGTGTACAGACGTCCCCACTTCCTATTTTTTCCCTGAGGGAGGGGGGGACGTCTGTAAACAGGCTAATTTACAGCAGTTAAAAGGGTTGCAAAGTTCTAAACAAGGTATCTGAAAAGGGTACCATTTTTCAATAGAAGGAATACGAAAGGGGTACCTTTTTCGTGAAAAATGGTATATAAAAGGGTAAGGGGTTGGACCTCGGGGCGGAGCCTCCCCGTATAAAAATTTTTGAGACCCCCCTCTCCTATACTGACACCCTCTTGATAAGGACAGTTTAATTGTCCCTGGGGAAAAATCCTCACGGTTTCTCTAAATTCAACCCGCTTAATACAGACACACGTTATGAGGACAACGGACGTCACTCTTGTTTTCTTGCCCAATCAACAGTTTTTCAATGACAGTTCGAATGTCCCTATGGCCTGGCACTTCATTGTCAAAAACCTCGTTCCCAGGGTCTCTCATCTTCCCGCCCAAGCGAACCCTCTGTCCTCTCTCGCTTGGGCGGGAAGATGAGAGACCCTGGGAACGAGGTTGCATTGTCAACTGCTTGCTGCAATAGGGCATTTGCACGATGACGTCATTTGACTACAACTACCAGAATCCTTTAGGATTTCGTTTTCTTGTGCAAATTACGCCTTTTGTTTTGGACACCCCTCTGGGATTACAAAATTTAAATAAGAAAAGAAAAACGAAATGAATTCTGGTAGATGTAGTCAAATAACGCCATCGTGAAATTTGCCTATAAACTATTCCTTTCTGAAGGAAAAAAAAGTTCAGTTGACAGCATGTCGATTTTCCCAGCGCTACAGTACATTTGTACACTGGATAGAATGAATTGAAGATGTCTATTTCAGATTATTTTGGCATCAAACGATTATGCACAGAACGATTTATGATTACATGTAATGTATAAAAGAGCGACTTTTGGATGTTATCGTGGACATAAACCGCGGAATGACGGTTTTGTGAAGCCAGATGTTGAATTAGACGATGCTCATGCCCTGTTTCGTTTCTTTGGTATTTTAGTCAAATAAAAAGTGTATTTTTGACCGATATAACATGAACCTCTCTTAATAAGGACACCCTACTGGCACTTGCCTTTGTCCCTTCTGTGGCTTGGCTTCAGTGTCCGTATTAACGGGTTTGAAACGGCTAAACTTCAAAATATCCGGCCACTTTGTGTATATCTTTATCTGTAGTTGTTACATAACAACCAATTACAGGACTGTGGGACTGCGGACGCAGTCATTTTAAGACCTGATTTTATTTAATTTTTCATGAACTAAAGGACAGCAGGACTACGGGAGTGAAGACTGAAAACACGCTTCAGTTGACCCCTTAGTACGGCAACGTCTGCAATAGGGACAGCTCTCTATTACGGACAATTCTTTTGGTCCCAAAGATAGCAAACTTCATACAAATCCTACCTCAATAATACGCTATCTATTACGAGCAGTTTTCTTGTCCCA